TGCTCTCTGTCAAAATGTTTTTAAAAGAAGATTTTATTTTGGGGAGAGAGAGCATGAGCAGGGGGAAGAGCAGAGTCTAGAGAGGGATAAGCAGACTCCACACTGAGCATGAGCCCAACATGGGGCTCGATCCTACCACCCCAAGATCATGACCTGAGCCTAATCAAGAGTCGGACACTTAACTGACTGAGCCACCCAGTGCCCCAGATTTACTGAATTTTAGTGACCACATACTGAAACCATAATATGCTTGGGACTTAACCACACCTGCCTCTAGAGGGGAGTCTTAAATTTGGTTAAGAGGTTTTGAATACAAACAGACAACTACATGTATCTTAGACATGTTCTAAGTCCAAGATTCAATAATCTATTCCTAGGCAGGATAAAGAAGAGAGTGACCACATTATAGCCCTGTGAGAAAACTGAATTCAACTAAATGATTTTTTGGAAAGCTCAAGTCAAGGAAACCCAATACAGAATACAAAAAATGCACCTTGATTTTTTCAGCACTTTCCAAGTACTTACTAAATATCATTCAGTGTTAGAATTGAAGATACAAAGATGAGTAAACCTAATAAAACTTGTTCTTTTATACTAGAATGTAAGATCCATGAGAACATACATTTTGATCTGTTTTATTCATGTATCATCTGTAATGTTTAGGCCAGTATCTGGCATTTAATAGGTGCTAAATAAAAATAGCTGAATGAATGGGTTCTCCTAAAAAGCTTAGAGTCTGAAGCCAAGATAGATATGAAATAGGGACAAAAGCATGTGATAGATGCTATCACAGATTCTCCCCTTTTTCTCCTTCCTAAAACCCTTTTATCAGTCTTTTTTTTTTTTTTTTAAGATTTATTTATTTGACAGAGACACAGCGAGAGAGGGAACACAAGCAGGGGGAGTGGGAGAGGGAGAAGCAGGCTTCCCGCCGAACAGGGAGCCTGATGCGGGGCTCGATCCCAGGATCCTGGGACCATGACCTGAGCCGAAGGCAGATGCTTGACTGAGCCACCCAGGCGCCCCTACCTTTTTTTCAGTCTTAAGTAGTATAATCTCTTTGTGAGTATTCTGATGGTACTGGGGTTCAGTGTGTGCACAATTAAACTTTAGCAGCCACCACTTCAGGGCTGGCTTCCGGACCCCATTTCCCAGCTGGTTATGTCAGAATCTTACCTCAGGCATGGGTAGTATTCCAGATGAGTTACTTGTGATGCCTGTAAGTTAGGTTTGTTCTAGTCCTCATAGCACCATTCTTTTACACAAGTTATTGCTATTCAGTTGACCCTTGGACAAAATGGGGCTAATAGGTAATAGGTGCCTGCCCTCCCCCCTGCAGTTGAAAATCCTGTAATTTCTGAATTTTTGACTCCCCCAAAACTTAACTATTAGTAATAGCCTACTGTTGACCAGAAGCCTTACCTATAACATAAACAGTCGATAAACTCATATTTTATATGTATTATATGCTGCATTCTTATAATAAAATAGCCTGGAGGAAAGAAAAAGTTAAAATCATAAGAGAAAGTACATTTACAGTCCTGTATGGATATTTATTTAAAAAATTCCTCCAGGAGGGGCTGGGACGGGGTGGTGGCGGTGGGGCTGGCTCTGGGGTGATGATGTTCCACAGCCTGGTGGTCTCTGCTCAGCGGTGGCAGCAGCTGGGCGGCCCGTGGGTGCTGACGGTGGTGGCCTGGAGGTTCAGTACCACTGACCCACCTGCCTGGAGGTATGCCGCCGGCCATAACCATCGGCAGTTTCGGGGGGGCGGGTCAGCGCTGGGCCAGGAGGGACTCAGGGCAGCACGGAGGACCTTCTGGGCGTGTTCTTGTGCTTCAGCCCAGCCTCCTGCCTGCCAGCCCTGGGCACTCAAACCGACCACCCTGTTGGCACAATGCGCCACCTGTAGCCCTGTCTGGTACCAGGGCTTCCCCGGGGCTGCTGACGGCTGGCTCCCTGCAGGCCTCCCCTCCCTGCGTTCTCAGAGGGCAGCAAGTGTGACTTCTGCACCAGTCACGTTTGATTCTCCTGTGGAGACTGGGCTGGGCAGTTGTAAATAAATACCATGTGGCTTTTGCGATCAGCCCTTAAAAACCCACCTGTAAGTGGACCTGTGTAGTTCAAACCCATATTGTTCAAGGGTCATCTGTATTTTAAAGTGGGATCTGGGCTTGTGGGGATGGGTAAATGAGGCAGTGTAGAATATTTGTAAGTTTAAGACTTGTTTAAGAATAATAGTAATTAAAAAAGACTTGTTTAAGAATAGAAGGAGATTTCTGAGGTATAGGACTCTCAGTGTGGGCCGCCTCAGCTCGGGCCCAGCTGTGGTGAATCCTCAGAGCTTCACTTGCTTGTAGTGGTCCTCTGTTGTTTAATCTTCCTGGGACATACTGTCTTCCAGGATTGGCACAGGCAGCTGCCTGTGAAACTTATCCAGGGTAATTGGGCAGGAGAGGGTCTGGCCAAGCCTTCATTAAGGAGTATAGAGCATTCACCTCTTTGCTGCAGAGTAGAGGGATTAAAAGAGGTGATTATTTCCATTATCTGGGGCTGTATTACCTTAGCTTCTTTTAGGTTGTAAGAAGCACATTGGCTTAGTTCACTCTAGAGGTTTATTACGTAAAGAATGTGTCATAGTTAGCCTTCATGAAATTTCGACATTGTTGCAGACACTAGAGTAACTTCCCTGTTATCCTCTTTGTCCTCCAGTTCACTTGTTACCAACTCTAGTGATTCCACCATTTTGATAAGTCAGCTAATCCCTCCTTCTACTCTTCTTCCACTCTGTTTTTCTGGTGACTGTGAACTCTCTAATGCATTCTTAATTTCTCTTAACATCATACTTCTTAAAGGAAAGGGGCAGACTGTGTTGTCTAGTTGTTTATTATTCAGTTGGGTGAAATTCTCATGAGTTACCTCAAAGGCCCCTTAGATGGCTTCTAGGTTGGAAGCTGAATCCTGGTCATAGTCATTTGTAACCAGAGTTTCAGTGTCTCATCATCCAAATTATAGTGATCGCACTGAAAGAACTGTCTGTGATCATTTCCTTAGAAGGAACCTGTGTGGCCTTGGTAGATATTCAAAGCATTGTTTATTACTCTTTATCAATGGGTCACTGGGAGCTTTCAGATTGAAGGAGAAGTAGAAAATGCTGCACATACATGGGATGTGTTTCTTGTTCCCAAAAGGAGTAGCCCATGGTTAATCAAAACAAAATAAGATTATCTTTACTTGTCCTGGTTCTATAACCTTTTGTAGAAGTCAGTGTTCTAGAAATTAATAACAACTCAAGTATATGTATTATACTTCTGATTTTCATCCCTCTTAGTAAATTTTTTATGGCTTTTGCTATAATTAATGAAGTCTTACTAAATAAGAAGAAAGGATCAAAATGTATACTTGGAATGTACACATGTAACTGAACCATTAAATAAGATTTACAAAGGGGAAAGACTGGATTGTTGTGACCTGCATGCCACCTAATAATGTACAAGGAGTTAGAAAGCCATTTAGAGTACATGTCTTTCTGCACATTGTCTTTAGCTGGGATAGTAAGCTAAGATCCAGAGACCTTAATGAGGGTTTTGTATGAAGGCCCTCTTTGGGGAATGCATATTTTCCTAGAAGCCAGGTAGCTGAAGAATGAGATTTTATGGATGGTCAGTGTATCTACTTGATCTCCAAGGAAATAGGTAAGACGTTTGAGACCATGATAAACTGGTTTTAATGTTTGTTCAAGCACGTGGATAGTCAGATGCTAGTTTTGAAAGGGATTACTATGCAATTTCTTCAGTAGCTTCATGAAAATTATGTTATTATTTTCTCATTTTACCAAAAACTAGTGAAAACTTTTTTTTAAAGATTTTATTTATTTATTTTAGAGAGCATGCGCATGAGCCAGCGCAGGGAGGAGCAGAGGGAGGGAGACAAGCAGATTCCTGCTGAATGGGTAGCCCCACATGGGGCTTGATCCCAGGACCCTGAGATCATGACCTGAGCCAAAATCAAGAGTTGGATGCTTAACAGACTGAGCCACCCAAGAGCCCCAAGTGAAAACTTTTTTTTTTTAATTTTATTTTATTATGTTAATCACCGTACATTACATCATTAGTTTTTGATGTAGTGTTCCATGATTCATTGTTTGCATATAACACCCAGTGCTCCATTCAGTACATGCCCTCCTTAATACCCATCACTGGGCTAACCCATCCCCCCACCTTCCTCCCCTCTAGAACCCTCAGTTTGTTTCTCAGAGTCCATAGTCTCTCATGGTTTGTCTCCCCCTCCGATTTTCCCCCCTTCATTTTTCCCTTTCTACTATCTTTTTTTTTTTTTAACATATAATGTATTATTTGTTTCAGAGGTACAGGTCTGTGATTCAACAGTCTTATACAATTCACAGCGCTCACCATAGCACATACATTGGGGAGGGTATGTCCTAGTGAAAACTTTTTAATGAATGAGAATCACTGGGTTACATGGTTAATATAGCGAGGTGGTCTCTTAGCTGGTTGATATCTATACCAGAGAATGTTGTGCCATCCTGAAGGGGAAGGTACCAGGCCATGAGTCTGGGCCATATCAAATCCACCAAGAGTGCCATTGCTGGGGTGGAAGCCTAGAGGAGAGGAGAGATGCAGGAGGCAGAAATGACAAGGTCCAGGTGGGTCTGGATGAAAGATGTTGACAGGATTAAGAATGGCTCTGAGCAAGAAGGAAATTCTTAGAGCTTTAGCTCCAGGGCAGTTATGTTCTGGAACTAAATTCTCAGAACTCTTCCACTCAGTTCATTCCAGTGAGGTCAGGCTAAGAAAGAAAGCGATCAACTTGCTGTATCTAAGAGACTTTGTTTTGGAATATATTTTTCTATCAACCACTAACCTAGTGGTTAGTGATTGTAGCCTACATAGAAGGGAAAAATCTGAACTTGGTTGGAGGGTTCTCTGCCATTTTAGAGTTGCATTGTCTCTGATTTTACTTTATTTTTTTTCCTTCAGGTTGCTTGATTGGGGCCGTGAATCTCAAATCCAGCAACCGAACCCCAGTAGTACAGGAATTTGAAAGTAAGTACAAGGGAGACTACTAAGAGAATGGGTGCCATCTAATGGACGTTTGGTAGTCTTGCAGACAACTCAGGACAGACAAACACAGGCTCACAGTGCCCTAGAGACGTCCGGGTGGGTGGCTCCTTAGCAGTGCATTTGATGTGCACGTGTGTCAGGAAGTACTCCTTCAGCAGGCCAACAGGGAACTCTGCAGGTTTTATATTGGCGAGAATCAGATTCCACCCTGGCTTTGTATGTATATAACAAAGAATTTTCTTACATACAAGCACAGTATTAAGGGGGAGTGTGTACTCTATTTAGTAAAAGTTCTTGGTAATCGTCTTTATTATTTTTCTGGCTAAAATTCAGCTTTTCTTAAAATCATTGGAGCCTGGAGATAGATTTTTTTAACCTGCATGCAAGACTTCTTTAAAATTAGAGATAGCTTGCAGTGTCCAGGTATATAAGTGATCATAAAATTGTTCCCCATTCTCTGAGAGGTTTTTTTTGTTTTTGTTTTTGTTTTTGTTTTTTGCTCATTAGGTGTGGAACTATCTTGTATCATTACGGATTCACAGACAAGTGACCCCAGGATTGAATGGAAGAAAATTCAAGATGACCAAACCACATATGTGTTTTTTGACAACAGAATTCAGGGTATGATCCTCTAATCCCCTCCTTTGTCCACAAGGCCCAGGCATATACTTGTGCCCAGAGACTTTCCTCTGACTGGTCCTGCATCTGCATCCAGGATTGGTTTTTTTTGTTTTGTTTGTTTCACTTACGGAAAATTCAAATATGGAAAGGTAATGAGAATAATATATTGAACCTCCCTGTCCCTGTCATTCAGCTTCAACAAGTATCACCTCATTAGTTATGATTTAAATCTATCTGTAGCCCATCCTGTTGAGTTATCAGAGTGAACATTTTCCTAGGCCATCCTCTTATCATGGTCCCATTCGTGATACCAGCTGCATGAGTTAATCAGAAGGATCACATGGAACAGCAAGGAGACAAGACAGGTATTTACTGAGCAACTACTGTGTGCCAAGCTTCCCACACTGAGAAAGCATTTGCTAGAACAGACGTCAGCATAGGGTATCTCTGATCACATGAAGTAGGAGCAGGGCAGGTGGTGGGGGAGGCTTCCCAGAAGCAACATCTAGGCTGAGCTATGAAGCCGGTCGACCAGGCCAGATGGTGAGGGGTGGGGTGGAGGAAGGTGTTGGGCAAGAAAGAATGCTCTGCATATATAGATGTGGAAGCAAAAGGCAGGTTTGCTTAAGGAAACTTCAAGATCTCTATCACAGCTGGGACTTAAGGAGGGAAGAGAGGAGTGACTCCACATGGCTGTTGAGGCTTGCCAGGGCCAGCAAGAAGCACTGAATGCCATGTAAGAATGGACAGTATCTTGAGGTCTGCAAAGATTTTTTAGAGGGAAGGAAGATGATTTCATTTACACTTTAGAAAGACTTGACTTGGTTTGTAAAGGAGATTGGGGATGGGGAAACTCAGAGCAGTGGTGCTAATTTAGAATTTTTTTGCAGATGCCAGAAGGGAGCTGCTGATGGCCCAAGCTAAGGTTGAGGCAGTGTAGAAAGACATGGGGAGGGATTGCTAGGAGCTGGCTGTGGCAAGGGAGGGAGAGAGAGAAATTATAGATGACATGCAGTGGGACCTTACCTTCACTCTGACGGGAGGGACGGGGTAAACACGAGGGACAAATGCAACAGCTTCTAAGGGCTGGCTTTGGAGTTCTCAGAGAAGTTGATAGTTGAGGCTTCAGAGAAGAGGAGAGATGTGGAAACGGCCAAATCTCAGTCTTCCTGCTTTGGGTCCCCAATATCACCAGGAGTCATAGGCTCTTAAAAATCATATTTTTGGGGGACACCTGGGGGCTCAGTCAGTTAAGCATCTGCCTTCAGCTCAGGTCATGATCCCAGGGTCCTGGCATGGAGCCCCACGTCAGTCTCCCTGCTCACAGGGAGCCTGCTTCTCCCTCTTCTACCTGTTCATGCTCTCACTATCTCTCTCTCTCTCAAATAAACAAATAACATCTTTAAAAAAATGTTTTTGCAAATGTTCATCTTTCATCATCAGCATTTTTCTGTTCTTATTATATTATGGTAAATCCTTTCTGTTCTTGCCACCAGTCAGCAGGTTTAGTAATAATTATTTTCTATTTTTGTGTCATTTTTTTTCTAACTCCTTCCTTTATTTGTCATTCTTTTTTTTTTTTTAAGATTTTATTTATTTATTTGACAGAGAGAGAGAGCACAAGCAGGGGGAGTGGCAGGCAGAGGAAGAGGGAGAAGCAGGCTCCCCGCTGAGCAGAGAACCCAATGTGGGGCTCCATCCCAGGACCCTGGCATCATGACCTGAGCTGAAGGCAAATGCCTAACCAACTGAGCCACCCAGGCGTCCCCCTTTATTTGTCATTCTCTAGGTTCTTCATGCTTCTTTGAAAGCATACCATCTTTTTTTATGCTTTAAAAATTTTAAATATTGAGATATAATTCATATAGCACAAAACTCACATTTTTTTAAAGTGTATACTTCAGTGGTTGTTAGTATATTCAACAAAGATGTGCAACCATCACTGCTATCAAATTCCAGAACACTTTCATCAACCCCAAAAGAAACTGTATATCCTTTAGCAGTGACTTCCCTTCCCCTCTGTCCCCACCTCCTGGCAACCACTAATCTACCTTGTCTCTATGGATTTGCCTATCCTGGACACCTCATATAAATGGAATCGTACAATATGTGGTTCTTTGTGATTGACTTCTTCCACTCAGCATATTATTTTCAACGTTCATCCATGGTGTAGCATGTAGTATTTCACTGTAGGTAGGCCACTTTTTTTTTTTTATCCATTTGTCAATTGATGTACACTTGGGTTGTTTCCAGTTTTTGGCTATTATCAATAAGGCAGCTATGGATATTCATGTAAACATAATGGTTTATATGTGAACATAAGTTTTCATTTGGGGACGATAAATGACCCAAAGTACAATTGCTAGGTAATATGGTGTTTGCATGTATAGTTTTGTTTTTTTTTAAGAACCTGCCCAACTATATTCCCAAGTGGCCGTACCATTTTACATTCCTTCAGTGTATTTCCCTACATCCTCACTAACATTTATAATTGTCCATCTTTTCAATTCTGGCCATCCTAGTGGGTGTGAAGTATCTCATTGTGGTTTTGATTTGCATTTCCCTGGTGACTAATGATGCTGACCATATTTTCATGTTCTCGGTGGCCATTTGTATATATTTCTTTGGAGAAATGTCTACTCAAATCTTTTGCCCATTTTTAGTTATTTGTCTATTTATTGTTGAGTTGCAAATTCCTTTTATATTCTGGATACTAGTCCTTTGTCCCAGATACTTTCTCCCATTTAGTGGATTGTCTTTTCAAAACTTGCATGTGTCTTTTGAAGCACAAAAGTTTTAAAATTTTTCATGAAATTCCAGTGAGGGCCAACGTAACTTTATTTCTTAGGGTTGCGGTCTTTGTGCCATTTCTAAGAAATTGTTGCCTAATCCAAGGTCATGATGATTTATATCTGTTTTTTCCTAAGAGTCATACTGTTAACTCTTGGGTTTTTTTTTTAAAGATTCCATTTATTTACTTGAGAGAGCAAATGCTCAGAGAGAGAGAGAGAGAGTGAGAGAGCGAGCACAAGTGGTGGGGAGGGACAAGGAGACTCCCCACTGTGCAGCGGGGCTCGATCCCAGGACCCTGGGATCATGACCTGAGGCATGACGAAGGCAGACGCTCAACCAACTGAGCCACCCAGGAGCCCCCATGCTGTTAACTCTTATAGGAAGGTCTTTGTTGTATATAGTATGAGGTAGGAGTCCAACCTCACTCTTTTGCATGTGGATATCCAGTTGTCCCAGCACCATTTATGAATACTGGTTGTTTTCTAATGTTGTTTGTTTGATTTCTTTCTCTTTTAATGGGAATCCTGGCTAGGAATGATGGAAAGGAAATGAGGTCTCTGCTCTAACAACAGAGACACATGTAATGACACATGTACCTCTTACACACCAGGTACTGTTTTGGTGCTCAGTGTCCCCAGTTCACCTCTCTTTTCCAGGAGCAGAAACAGAAGCCTGTGTGCAATCTCCTTATGGAGGCATTAAATGCTAGCCCCAGAAGCCGCCACCTTCAGGTGGCAGAGATGTCTGTAAACAGTCTTTTTATGTTCTGCATCCTCTTTTCTACAGGAGATTTGGCAGGTCGTGCAGAACTATTGGGGAAAACCTCTCTAAGGATCTGGAATGTGACCCGGACAGACTCAGCCCTTTATCGCTGTGAGGTGGTTGCTCGAAACGACCGCAAAGAAATTGATGAGATTGTCATTGAGTTAACTGTGCAAGGTAGGAGCTCACATGAAGTTAAAACATGTTCCCCCTTTTAGGCCTCATGAGTCTGTCTAGAAAATAAAAAAGATCCGGAAAGGGGAAAAATAAATAAAAAATTCAAAAAAAAAAAAAGATCAGCTCTTTCTTTGCTTCTAGACTATATCCCTAGGGGTATCACAGGACTCAGGGAGTAGGCGGTTGTAGGAGCTTGGGCTGCCTGAGTTGGGGTGGAAGGTTGGAAGGGAAGTGGAGCTCTCCCTCCACCAGCCGCAGGAGGGGCTCCTCGGAAGCTGGAGGCATTAGGAATGCACTGAGGGGTCATACGCGGGGAGTGGGGGGTGAGCCGCGGGGCAGATGCAGCGGCAGATCGGAGCCTGCGGGCGCGACGTGGGGGCAGCAGTGCTGCAGCCCCTGGCCGGTTGTCCTGTTTGGGGAGCAGATTTACCATGGGC